ACTTGCTCTCGTACCCCTGAAGTAGAGTTCACCTTCGACTCTACTTTGAAGAGTCCTTTATCTAGGATCTCTTTCTTAGCCTTGGGGGGAACAGGCGGCATGCTGCGGCCGCCTACAAGAAGGGGCGGATTCCTGTTCCACCTGTTGAAGCGCTTGTTCAGCTCTGTGTCTGAACTCTCAATGATGAGGAAGGTGCTCCGCCAGTCCTTCCATTTGTTTGCTTTGCCTCTCGTCATGAGGTAGCCCCTGTGGCTCGTCAATTGATACCAGCCGGTACCGCCTGCCTTAGGGGTCCGGCTGAGGTAGTTCATGTGGGCGAAAGCCTCGAAGCTCGGCTCCACCCCGTGCAGTTCGCACCCGGCCACATAGCCGAGTACGTTGACCTAGGAGTTCGGGGCTAACTGCCATAACCCCAACTCATACCCATCCAAGATCCGCTGAACGACCGGATGTAGTGGGAAGCGCAGCCCAGCCTTTATGGCCGCCTTGTAGCAGCCAAAGCAGGCGCTATCATAACTGGTACCAGCCGGCCATACGACTGTGTCTTCTGGATCCGGCACGAACACTAAAAAGCCGGGGCCCATTGTGTGGTTTGCGATAAAGCTCTCCACTTTCTCTTGCATGGCTGTGATCCGGCCCCGAGGTACCGTGCAGTAGTAGGGGGTATTTTGCTCTCGGTGAGAGGCGGATGGCTCCGCCCAATCGTCCCCCTTCTCAACTGCGTGAGAAAGCCTCGCCTCTTGCAGGCAACTGTTTTTCTCTTCTGTGTCCAGAGAAGCATGGCCAGAAGAGCTAGACTCGGAATCGTCCTATGACGAGTCCGAAGAGGACGACTCCTCCCCTCTCCCGGAGGGGCCCGCCTCCTCTCCTTTAAAAGGAGCAGGAGAGAATGTAGAATTGCCAACTGTAAAATGGGAAGCGGTAACTTTGACTCCTCCCTCAGAACTGCCGGCTTTCAAGCCGCTTTGTTTCACTTCCACATCTGGTGCCTGGTCAGATGTTTCACTAATCGGCACCCTGTGGGAGGAGCCGTTTGAGTTTGAGATCCTGACAGTCTTTTTTGTTCTGGCCATCATGCTCTGCATAGACACAGATACAGTCGTACTTTGTATAAAGGGCAAAGATGGGTCCGGAAAAGGGCAGGCGGCACTCCTAGTCCTAGATTCAGCCGTCCCCGGTGACCGGCTGATCACTAACCTAGGTCGTGTCGTGTGCTTCCGTGGTTCCATTTCAAAAAAGAATAAAATAAAGAGAAAATTAAGAGTAAGAGAACCGACGGTTACCTGAACGAGTGACGATTGATGAAGTTATGAAAATCCTTTGCAGTCGGCTTGTCAGAGCAGGCGGTAGGCAGAAAGGGTCCAAAATGTCAGAGCAAGTTCAGGGGTCCGAATGTTCTCTCACAAAGTTCTCAAGTGTGAAAATGACTGAAGTCAACACTCCCTTATATAGGCGAAGTGAGAAGGCGAAGGGTCACTTCCAGAATTCATAATTTGGGCGGGAGAATCTCGCGGCCTTTCGCCGAGTGACACCTGTAGCAGGCCGTCGCCTGTTACAGTGCGACACCTGTCACAGGTAACACGTGACCAGTCACGTGCCACCTGTGAGGGGCAAATGATTAGGGGATTTTGCTCCCACCAATCGAAATGCGCCACGTGGGCCAATCAGGTCCTGCCAAGTGTCCCCCAGTTGGAACTGTCAGGGCTTGCCACGTGGCACACGCTTATTCGTCCACCTTGGACCTATTATGTCATGACACGTGGCATACTCCATGCCTAATGGAGAAACCGGCCACCCAGGCCCAACTTCCGAGGGAAGCCCAATCAGCCCTAGGTTAACCTAAACCTAGGATTGACACGTTTCCCAAGGTTATAAATACCTCCCTTAATCCTCATTAAGAGGGGGATCACGCGAACAACGCAGATTACACACATTAAACACTCTCACCTAGAGAGACCCAATCACTTTAATTTCCGCATTAATTACTCCTTAATCAAGTACTAACTTAACCGTTGGAGGCGGAGCTCCCATCACCAGGAGTCTCCGTTGTTTTGCAAGTACAGGCGTCCGGTTCCAGTCTCGGAATTGTAACTCTCCCGCAAGACATCAGAAAACCCCGAAACACGTACGGCTATATATCTTTAGAAATCATCGCAGGACGACAGAACCAACGCGCCGCGATAGTCGTATTGTGCTGCGATGGATAGTGTCGCGCCGCGATAAGTCTATCGCCCCGCGATGAAACCTGTTTTATTCCGTTTCAATTTCTGATCTTTTTGATCGCTTCGACTCTCTTTTTTCCTTATAAATAAATGTCGTTTTTCCCATTTTTCAGATCATCAACAATCATCATAATCATCATAATAATCAATTCTTTTTCTTGATCCCCATGTTCTTAGACTTAGCCTAAACACATCCTTGATATTCTCCCAAATCAGTCACAATACCTCATTCACGAGATTCGAATACTCCAAGCCATCCTCGACGTTGTCTTCGACCTCGGCGTGAAAGGTTGATAGTTCTGAGGGTTTGGTCCCAAATATATATTTCAATTCATATTTGATTTATTTACTTTATTAATTTAACTTTCTTGAATTTTACTAATGTGTGTTTTTTTTAATAGCAAGAAGGTTGAGGCATCAAAGTAAGTAATTCAATCACCCTTATTATTCTTTGATTTTGGAGTAGAAATCATGTTTACAATGTTATTTTAATTCATAGTATCATGCTTAGGATGTCTTTATGATTTCTAGTATCATGTTTAGGATGCTTATTATGATTTCTAGTTTCATGTTTAGGATAACGCTTTGATTTGATTATTAGTGACATGCTAGAATTTGTTATTAATCCGTTTAGTATATCATGCCTAGGATCTTACTATTAATGATGTTTTAATGATGTTGTTATAATGATGATTGTTGTATTAATCATATGTTGCTTGATTATTTATGATTTATTGTTATTGCTTGATCACGCCCCTTTTTGCAGGTTTAAAGGGAATTTGTACTTGAAATCACGCTTAATAAGATAATTAATAATTGATTTTAGGCTTAATATGATTTTAATTCAAGTGATCACCAATATTGGATTTGATTGTGCATTAATAATCAACCAACGTAGATTAAACACGTTTAGGATTAACTTGATGTATGTATGTAAATCGAAAAGTGCACATGAATATCATAAGAATTGAGTAGAGGCCTATTTAGGGCGGGTTCAATCTCTTTTAGGTTGGATTTGTACCATCATCCCCGAACATCTAGTCATGGTTCCGGACCACTATGGAGTTAGCGATCTCCGTGATCGTGAATGGGGTATAACCTTCAAACCCGCGAACGGTTTATAAGTTCTTAAAACTTGTTGGCGACTCTTTTATCTTTAGCTTCTTTTCCTTGGAACGCTGCCATGCCTAAAAGCATGAACCACAGTAAGGTTTAAGGAGTTGACAAATGTCCTACGGTCTCATAGGAGTTACTCAGTCAATGTTATAGGGGTTACTTTGTTATTTTACAAGTGGCCACACGGTGTGGCCTAACTGCACACAAGAAGGGCTAATGGATTAATTAGATCCATACTTACCTTAACCACCTATTTGAGTAATACACTTTATCGAAGGACACATTTACTTCACAAAATTAAAAATCGTACCAAATCGTCCTTGTAGAATGTCAAGCAATTATATCACAATTTTAAATTGAGTCCCAACCAATTAGCACTAATTAAATATAATACCTTAATTAACACTTGATGTTTATACCTTAGATACAGTTTAAAAGACACCACTCTGTCTTTCAAGTCTTTAGACAATAGGACCACAAACATCTCACATGAGGCGAGGACCCTAACATGTATACAATGTTTTAGAAAGTTTGCATAAAATTATGTCATAATTATTTCTTAATTAAGTTAAAATATTTTTTCTATGGACAAGACTGCTGCTTAATAAAGATACACATACAAGTGTATAATGTCGCACAAAAAGGTCCAATATCAAACTGCTTATTGTTAGTGCTTGTCCCACTTTATGGTGTTTAGATAGTAAAGAAACTTCTAATTATCAGCTTATTATACTAACTTTTTAGATAGCAACAATATCTTACAACAGCTTTGATTTGATTTTGTTTTTATATAATAAAATTGGTTCAATTATTATTTTCATTATGAAATTAAACTTGTATATGTAGGACTTCAGCTTTTGCTAGTTATAATGAGAACATTAATTAATACGGTAAGTTTATGATTGTTGTTGATTAACTTGCTTCCGGAGTAATATATAGCCCACGGGTAGGAAAAGTAACCAAAAGTGGAAAATTGGTTGTTAACTAAATTGGCGGATTTTAGACCATAAAGTAGGGCATCAACTTAGGCCGGGGGGCTAAATTTTTAATCTTCAATCTCTAGTGAATACGGAGTAATGTTAATGCTTAGGCATTGAGATATATAGAGTAATTTTTAGTAGGTAATGTATCTTGTAACTCCAAAGTGTCTCTAATGTAGTATACTACGGCATAGTTTTTATCGATCCTACATTACTTCAAAGTCATGAGACATAAACCTTACAACTAGATTCATTAGTATTTGATGCATACCGCTATACGTCTAGATCTAACATAACCTCCAAGTTGGATTTAGTACTTGGATTTTAATATTCTATAATTGTGTTTTACGATTGATACAAAGTAGAAAATGTCTAAAGAAACTAAAATTTGGCAGGACAATACTTATGTTAAGATACACGTACTAGAAATCCGAATGTGTGATGGACAGTATATATGTCAAGATACATGTATAAATGAGATTTAATTTCAAGTATAACATGCACTGACAGACTCTTAATATTTTAACCGACTAATTTAGCTAACACATATAATAAATATGTACTTAACATTTTTGAGAAAAGCATTTAGTTTTATATTTAAATTTAGAATCATGGTTCCAAACATGTTCGAAACAAGTCGTTTATTTTCTATTTACTTTGCTTTTTTGGAGTGAAAGTGGAAGTGTGGAACCTATTAAACTACTCATATCCATTTAAGCAATCTATCTTTCCAGAGAAGCAAATAATCCGTCTGACCCCAACAACATAAGCCTATTTTAGTAATTCACATTTTTTTTTTTTCGGAAAAAAAGGCGGCCTTTTCATATTTTTCTCTTAGATATATATATAACCCCATCTCCAAACATCAATGTATATCTTTTGATCACCATTATTTTCTACACAAAATCACTCAACAACAAAAACTCGATTAAATGGACGAGTCATGGAGAAAGAGCATGGGTGTCTCCGCCTCCGGCACCTCAACCGGGGGCACGGCACTAGAACCCGAAGATTTCAATGACGTTTTCGGAGGCCCTCCAAGAAGCGTACTAGCAAGAAAAATGTCAGCTGATTTCTCAGGCAACGATTGGTTTTACAATGAGATTTTCAAGCCACCTTCAGATTTCTTGGATTCTCAGGCTATAATATCGGGCCGAAAGTTGCCTGAGTTTGTTATTCCGGACAGGAGACTGTCCAAGAATAGGCAAGTGAAGTCCATGTCAAGATCAAAGTCCACTTCTTCATCTGTTATGAGCTTTGATGAGATGAATGAACTCAATAACTTCCGATCCGCCGCGGTTATTGGGGAGGAGGATGTTGTTCTTTCAACTTACACTTCCAAGCTCAGGTGAATTCTCAACTCTTCACATAATTTTCTCTAATCTAATTAATTAATTGGTTATCATTTAACAATTTCATTAGTTTTTTATTTTAATAAAACTAGTTGGTGCTCCGTAGTAATTAAGTTACAAAAGGCAAGTCAGTTTATGTTGTGTTAAAGTGTAACTGATTATGATGTCTTCAGGATTTAGCTTATAAACATTGATTTATATAAAATCTTGGACAACTAATTAGCTCTCTATCTTTAAACTAAACTTGGACATGATCCAACTGTAAAGTTGTTTAATTAATAAATCAATACTGTTTTAATGAGTACATACTCTGTATAATTGACTTGTACTCACCACTCAGAAATATATGAAACACCACCCTAATTAAAAAGTCTTCACTTATCATTCATGTTAGCATATTACGAAGTAATACGTATTATATAGCACGAGTAAAAGATTATGCATTTAAATATGAGTCACTCCTCACTAAATAAAGTAATAACCATCAATAAGTGTAATTAGTTAGGGATTTACCTTGTAACTTTCAAATCACAAAGTCGAGTCCTTTGAATTATAAGTGCTTAGAGATGGGGGTCCTTTAGTTTGGAATAACAAGATTTGTTGTGTTGTTGCTCCGTAGTCCGTACTTTAGTAAATTAAAATATTGGCGATTATTTGGGAGGGAAAAAAATTGAGTCAAAAACTAATTTTGATCACATACTTTAGATATTTGTATATAAAGAAAAAAAAAAAGGTTTGTAAATTGATCTCAAAATGGTTTGGTTTTAACTCCATTAGTTTTGGTTTATGTCTAAACAATTTTACCCTATTTTATTTTTGCCAAATACATTTTACAGAGTACTTTTTTTTTTAATGCCTAGCTGACAATATGTATACATACACCATTTCACCACTCTTATTCATTTTCTTCAACTTATTTTTTAATTAAATTTTCTCATATACATAATCACATTGCTCTTACAGTCAGTCACAACAACACTCATATATTATCCTTAATATTTTTGCAACATTTTTGCCCATTCATATAAATTAAGGGGACGTTTTTTTAATTCATCAATAATATATCTATTTTATTAATAAAATTATTATTAATGTAAGTTAATTGTGATTTTCAGGCCACTCAATGTACCAAGTAGATGGACTTCATCATCCAAGCCTAAGACAAATCATAAAAAGCAAGACTTACCAGCATATGGATGCCCTAAATCTTCTTTAGATAACAAATTCATTGCAAATGAGTGTAATGACTACATGATACAATATCATCAATCTATACCTTCTCCAAATACTAAAAACTTTGAACACTCCTTCAAAGTAAATGTCAATGGTGAATATGATATGCAACTCTCGCCGAATTCACCGGTTGTTCCTCCTCATCAAGGTCGAACAACAAACTACGACTATGAAGAATGTTTATCATATCAACAACCTTCTTATGTTGGTAGTGAAGTAAATAATCAAATGGTTGAAGGCAGCAACTCTGAAGAAATCAATATTGCTGAGGCGATCGCTTGGGCGAAGGAGAAATTTCATGGTTGAAGCTCAAATGGTAACACACAAGGAGTTAGTAATGAACAAGAGAGGAGTTAGTAATGAACAAGAGAGCATATATTTTACAATACATGGTGCGAGATAAAGTCTATGGCATGAAATTAAAAAAATATATCAGACCCTTGATTGATAGGGTGTATGAAATAAGAATATATGGTTATTCAATTTCATTGTAATTCGAAAATAGTAGGACAACTGATATGTTTTGTAACATACAAGAACATTATAAAGGTAAAATTGGCTAAAACGGCATTAACTATTAGTTAGGTACGTGTGCCCAATAGCATAACCTTACTACCTTATAAAAGGTCAAATAACGTTGTAAGAAACTACCTTATAAAAGGTAAAATATTGTAAAATACCACCTCTACCAGATTTCTACCGTTGACCCACCTTAAAACACCTCCGAAACCACCCCTTTCATCCCAAAAACCAACACAATTTGCTTGAAATGGTTTCAACCATGCCGAAACCACCCTCCAACCCCAAAAACCACACCATCCCAAAGCATGAAACTATCCTCACCAACTCTAATTATCCTTCAACTATCCCGAAATAACATTACCACCTTGAAAACCAACCCCCTCGATGGTTTCAGGGGTGTTTTCTGGTGAGTTAACGGTGGAATTCGGCTAAAGGTATTATCTTACAACATTTTACCATTTATTAGGTAGTTTCTTACAGCATTTTTTATTAGGTAGTTTCTCACAAAATTTAAGTTTTATTAGATAGTTTCTAACAAACAAATCCTTCATTATATTAGGTCCAATCATCAGTATACCAAATATAAATATAATATGTACAAAGGACATGATAGAAATTAAGACCGTAAGATTTTTGTTATAAAATTACATTTGCTTATATAAAATTTTAGGCACGTATTGCGTGCTTAAACACTGCTATCATGTTAAGATTAGACCCGGTTAATAAAAAGAATAACCCAATGATGATAGGGCTTGGTTAAAGGTTAAAAGGATCTTTATTAAATGAGCCTTCAATGGACATGATCTTAAATGGAAAGGGTCAGTGTAGGATTAAAATATGTTAGGCCAATTAGTAGATCAAGAAAATAGATGAAGTTAGATAAAAACAAAAATGTGTAATTTTGTATTCTCAGGTACCTACATTAGACGGAACTTAAAAATATTACCCGACCTTTAAAAAATTTTAAGAATAATTTTTTGTAAATTTAGTTCCGAAAATAATATGTCGTTTTAATAATACTTGCTAAAACATTTGTACTTGCTATAATGGTGATTAAATTAGTTAAGCTAATAATATTATAATGGTGATTAAATTAGTTAAGCTAATGATATTACAATTAGAGTATATATATAAATCGAGTTCTAATATATCCAGTAGTACACTTATCCTACTACATTTTTAGTTAGTTTTATTAGACTTTCATTTTTAATACTAGTAGATATACGAAAACCTATCAAGTATGATGTCTCGATTTGCAATAGAAGTCATGGTTGAAAAAAGACCCAACAAGTCCCCTTATATGTTTACACTCGAAGTGTATACATTTCAAAAAATTTGACACGTATCCTCTTGCACATTACATTATTTTGGATTCGTGTAGCAAAAACACTTATGTGATCTAGACCTGGAAAAATAATAACATACTTGATTACCTGACCCTAAAATCAATATGGACCTTAAACAACCCGAAAATCTAAAATGACTCAAACCAAAACTCAAATTGACCCGAAGTAGAGCTAACACAATCCCTAAAGTGACTTGAATTCTAAGCTATCTAATATCCAAAGTGAATCAAACCAATTTCAACTTGAATTAATTGACCTAAATAGACTCGATACCTGTAGTGACCTAACCAAAATTACTGGATATCAAAAATGACTCAAACTGATTTTACCCTAAATAATTGACTAGAATAAACCCAAATATGAAGTGACCTAAATTGAAATTGTCTAATACAAGAAATGCCTATACTGATTACAACTTGAATTAATTGTCCCAAATCTGGCACTAAAACAACCTAAACTAATTCGACCAGATTTTTTTACGAAATATAATTTTTATTTTGTTATTTTTTTGAAAAATTGCATAGTTAACGCATTTCTTTTCTTTCTCCCCTCTTCTTATACTGTAACAAGTTGGTGAAAACCAACAAGTGCTAGATATACTACAAGATCGAAGATCCCTGTTGCCACAAGACTAAAAAAAGGCATATTGGTAAAGGGTTTAATTTAGACTTGATCCGATCCAAACTTGACTCGAAATCTCGACCTGATATGAAATGTCCTGACCCAAAATGACGTGAAATCTCAACCCAAAACTCGATTAGTTATTGATCTTAACATACCCGAAAACCCAAAATTGACCTAACCTGAACCCAACCACATAATTAACCCAAAAAAACCCGACCCAAAAACCTCAAATACCAAGTCTTCTAATTACCGAATAAGTTGAACTAGCAATAACGATATCAAGCTACGGAGAACGATTGTATACTGTAGCAATTTGTCATGTAAATTGTATTAATTTGTTGGTAATTAGTAATGAAAATGTGGTAAATTGTTGATAATTATTGATGGTAATATGGTAGATTGTTGATGAAAATGTAGATGAAACTGTTAATGAAATTGTTGATGGTAATGTGGTTTATTTTTCTAAAAATAATGATGAAATTGGTGATGGTAATGCGGTACTTGTATGTGAAATTTTATGATGAAAGTTGTTATAGTAATCATTTTGCATTGCAACCTAAACTAAGAGTTAATGAAATTGTTGATAGTGAGAATGGCCTTGTTTCATTGCTATGTATGTTATGTATGGTTCAATTAGGCGTTATTTACGTTGTTTTAGAGTTCGATTATCCTTAAATGTGATTTGGTTGTTATGTAGAATATGACTACACAAAATGTAGTGTTGTTATGCCGGTGGGGAGGTGAAATTTTGTTGGATGGACCAAGTGTCAAGTACATTGGAGGAAATATGGAACCTGTTTCGGGGTTTTTTGATGTGTCCTGCGGGAGAGTTACAACACCGAGACTGACCTCCAGCTGCCTGTACCTGCAAAACAACGGAGACTCCCGAGAGAGTTCCGCCTCCGACGATCAAGTTAGAACGAGTATGAGGAGTATAGTGCGGAACGTAGTAATAACCCCTCCTGAGTCAGGAGGGTTCTGTAAGTGATAACCCCTCCTGAGTTAGGAGGGTTTTGCAATGAAGATTACTCAATGACCCTTCTTGAGTCAGGAGGGTGATGCAAGGAAGATTGATCAATGACCCCTCCTGAGTCAGGAGGGTGATGCAATTTTTGAGTTGATTGAATGTGGATTCCATGTATCCTGTGTAAATGAGGATGGTTCCCCTATTTATAGAGAAGGAGATCAATCCCCTTCTAGGGTTTGGTGACACGTGTCAGTAGGATATTGGGACACATGTTGCGTTAATAGTGGTCTGCTTGTTAGGGGTATTTTACCCCCAAACATTAGCCCCTCGGAAGGAGTAGTCTCTCTTGTTTAAGAGAGATTGCTCCTTTCGAAACGAGACCGCTTGAGCCTCTTTGGTTGACATCTGTCTAGTTCAATTGGGGAGAGATTTGATTGACTTGGAAAATTTGATACCTTGAATGGTATGACATTTCCGAGTAAATCAAATCATAATAATGATCGCCGCTGAACTAGACGGATGTCGACGATTATAGCTTTTAGCCCCACTATGCTGATAGCCCCATCCAAGGCGGACTGTCGATCATCAAGCAGGGGGTATGCGCTTAATACTATCCGGCCATTGGCCTCTTTAATATGAGCTGCAATATACTAAGTTTGGTACTTAGTTTATTTTGCTAGATGATGGCTGGCCGTTTGCTTTGGTGACTGCGTAGGAGCAGGCGTCAAACGAAATGTCCAACCAAAAATATCTATGCCCGTTTATAGGTGACAACTTTTTAGAAGTTTGGCCAATCTAGTAGGAATAGTGGTAGAGTACCTCTATTTGTCAAAAAACAGGCGAACTTCTCATACCTTTTAGGTTCCGTACTAGATTCGAGTGAGTATGAGTTAACCTTGGTTTAACCAGTCTCCGTTACTTTGGCTTGAGTAGTAGAGGTACCAGACGGCGGAGGCCGGCTGGTCCCCTCGATTCGCCAATGTTTGTTGGCTATTAACTCAAGAGGTACCGCCTGTATTTATCCGAAGTAATACAGGCGGTCTTCCGACTCAGAGGTCAACTGGCTACCACTGGTTTGGTTAGTGGTAGAGTTATCCTTGTCTCAGTTATAAACGGCTACGAGGTTGTCCTTGGGGACAGTCGTATAGGAGCTGTGTGCTTAGTTTATAGAGCAATATTCCACCCAAAAGGGAGCTGCTCTCTGCGACGAATTTCATTCGGAGGGATGTCGCCGGACGCCTGCTATGATGCTGAGACAGGTCGTATTAGTTTAATATTAAATGGGATCAGTTGGCTTGGAGCCTGGGCTGATCATCCGGCCATGGGCCTCAATCTGATCATCCGGCAATTGGCCTTCACTTGATCATTATGGCCATAAGCCTCATTTTTGTTCAGAAAGGAACAACACTCAGCCGCTTAGTCTTTCAGACTTAGCTTAAATTTGCTCGTATGGGAGCAGATGGTTGGTTTAAATTTTTCTGCCTGCACATTGCACAGGCGGTGTATTTAAACTTTGCCGCCTGCACATTGAACAGGCGGTGGTTCTTCTTAAGCCTGTTCAACATACTTTAAGACCTTTTTCGGCCGGTGTGCTGCCCTTGAGGGAGACTTCCAATGGAGGAGGCCAATATGCTGGACGACATTGAAATGCCTCCTGCTAACTCATGATACCAAGCCTTTCAAAGGGTGACAGGCGAGCATGAATTGCCTCCTGGGTAAGTTTCGAATTCAAGAGGTGAATTTGATGCTCCGAGTACACAGGCGGCTCTTTGCTGAGGCGCCTCCTGCTTGACTACTCAAGCCGCTTGATTTCATGATCATGCTGCTTGTTTTGGTGTGGTAAGTGACAAGCGCACTTTAGGGCGCGTTTTAGAGCATATATTAGGATGATTTTGGATGTATTTGGGGCCGTTTTGGCCGATTATTACCTTGTTATGCTTATGTCCCCTATGTTACGTGCTTCACGGGTTTTCGGTTTGTTTTTTATGTGTTTTCAGGTATTATCAACCGAGTTTA